TTTTTCGTTTTTTTTTAATAAGGGAAAAAATGCATCATTATTTTCATTAACCTCTAACTGAATATTAGCATTTCGTTCAAGTCTGCATGTAGGCAAGGAGCCTCTGTGATATTACAAACCCTTGATTTTAACAATGATCTCTAAATCTCAGATCACTTTTATACCCATTAACATTTTGCAGCAGGGTTCATCCCTGTTGAGACTATGGTGGCTATGACGTCTGCTACTAGATTACGTTATTTAATGCATAAAGAGCACGTGTATTACTACGCCACAATTTAAAACTATCTTTTGGTAACTGCACATAGGTATCATTGCTTTCGTTTGTGACCCCAGATTTATTTTATGCATTTGGGACCCCAGGTTTATTTAATGCACCTCGTACGTCATTCTGAGGCATCTACGAGTTTTATGAAGCTGCTGAAGTGGGGTCCATGGCATAAAAGAGTGAAGAACCCCGGATCTCACTACACCCCGACTCTACTCCCTATTTGTCATAATCAGACACTGGGAGTGCAGGGAACTGGGACTATGAATTTTTTTTTCATATGAAAAATATTGTGATGAAATATACATAACGAAGTTTACCGTCTTCACTATTTTTCAGTGGTTGCGACAGTTCAGCAGTGCCAGGTACAACCAATCCAGGCTGAGCTCTGGAAGGAAATGACTGGGTCTTACAAAGGAAAACTACACCTCAGTCATGTGGAAATTTTTTTTTTTTTAAAGGAAAACTTTGGTTAAGTGCCAGTATTTCAAATGCTTAGGATTTTAGGGAAATGGGCACAAAACAGTAACGCCCATCCTGCACGTACAGTTCAGAAGCCATCTGTGAGGGCGGGAGTGGCGGGACAGCCCATCTCACCCCCGCCCCAGAGCACAGTTGTCTGTGGAACTGCCCTGCTCTGGCTCTGGGCGTTTGATCCTTATGCCATGGCTAGTACCGTTTTCTGTTTTTAACGCTGTTTCTAAAGTGGCACACGGACACACCTGGGCGTGGACAGAGCTGGGGACTGGCCTCTGTGCCAGCGGGGCCTGTTTGCCCTTCCTGAGCCTCAGTTCTCCCATCTTTGACACCAAGGTCATCATGAAGGTTAAATAACACAAAGCTTTCATAGACTGTAGGTGCAGAGCAATCACGGGGCACTTGGTGGCACACCCTTTCCAGCCCCCTCCCACCAAAGTCAGGTTATTTCTGACTGTTTTGGATGAGGCCCTTCCAATCTATTTTATGTAAAACCAAATTTATTATAGCATCAATCATGGACCAAACTGACAGCATTTCCCTCATGACAGGAAATGAATCATTAGGAAATGTAATTGCTTTTGGGGTACACTTCATTGAGTTCCATCTCTACCATGTGTTCCTCTGTGAACCCTTCTTAAAATGGAAGCAGGTTTGGAGGCACTCATTGTGGGACAGGTTTTCACTTATTTTTGACATTGGCGGTAAACACAGCACGAAGTTCGTTCTGTCCTCTCTGATAGCCACAGCCATCTGCACGCTGAGATGCATTTATGTGGGAGAAATGTGTGGCCAATTCCCTCAGGCGTCACTTTTTGCATCAGGTGCTGGGGCTTCAGCGATGACTTTAGACATGATTGCTGCCCTCGAGGGGCTCAGTGAGCCAGCTGACGGCAGGAAGGTGTTAGAGCTGGGACAGCGCAGGAAAGGGGAGGCTGAGAAGGGACGGTGGTGAGGGGTTCCAGTTGTTGGGGGGTGAGAGGCTCAGCCCAGAGCTGACCACACAGTAGGCCGCGAGAGGCACTCTGGGTCTCTCTTGTGCCTCATGAATAGGGGAGCAAAGCGATGGCGGGCGGGCATCCCGGTGTGGGGGGTGTGTGACAGCAGCTTGGCTGAAGAAAGGAGTGAGAGCAAAGGGCGAAGGTGTAAGCTGTAAGTCTGGTCACAGCGCTCGGAAGAGCTGGGATACCTACAGGCTGCTGGATCTGACCACTGGTGACATGAGACTACTCAGAGGGGGTGGGGCTGATCACAAAGTAAAAATTGCTCGCATGCCCCATTTGATGACTGCACAATGACCGGGTGAGGACCACAGCAGGAATTATCATGGACAAAACTGCCCTTTTCTTAGGAAACCAAAGCAGTTTCTTTCAACTAAATCCTTTTCCTGAATGTTTGGTCCTCTAAAACACCTACCAAATACCATAGCTTTATATGCAAATTGTGATCATTTTCAATGCCAAAATTACCTTGGATAAAGGGCTGAGGATTTTAGCTGAGCTTCTTTGGACTGGCCTAGACAATATTCAGTAAAAGTGTTAACAATTGTTCATAGACTGGTGCTGACCAATTCTGGACTTGCGCAGGCCAAGAAAAAAAGAGAGTGATTAAGTTCTTCTAATCTTCACCTGATATAATTCAGATGGGGTCGGGATGGTTCCCTTTTAAGAGCAAACCCCTTTCCCCTCCAGCTTTTACATTACAGTAATAATACGGCTACACTCTACCTGAGATTACAATAATAACTACGTATGGTGCCAGATAGGTATTGGATCGATCAGGGTGAAAAAGGTGAAGGTATTAAGAAATACAAGTTGGTAGTTACAAAATCGTCATGGGGCTGTAAAGTATAGGAAACATAATCAATAATATGGTAATAACTATGTACTGTGCCCAGTGGGTGCTGTTGAATGATGTACACCTGAAACTAACATAATATGGTATGTTACCTGTATTTTAATAAAAAATCTTTCAAAAAAAGGATACAGTCAATTATATTGTAATAACTATGGTGTCAGATGGGTACTAGATTTATTGGGGTGATCACTTCGTAAGTTACATAAATGTCTAATCACTGTGCTGTATACTTGAAACTAATATAATATTGTATGTCAACTATGATTTAAAAATAAAAAAACTATAGGTGTACCATCAAAAATAAATAAAGTAACGGCCTGCTGCTATAACAAATAACCCTCACAGCCTGTCGCCTGAGGATAAGTTACTCACAAGCCTATTGAGATGTTGCTGAACGGAAAGCCATCCGGGCCCTGGGGCCCTGCTGTCTGACTCCTCATCTGAGGTCCTCGGAGTTGTTTCTGTTCCATTGGGAGAGCGCAGAACTGCCCGAAAGGTTCCATGGGCCAGGCTTGATGGCGGCTGGTATCCTTTTAGCTCACATTCCACTGGCAGAGACACATGGCCACAGCTACGTGCAAGGGAGGCTGGGAAATACAGTCTCCAGTGGTTCTCCTTTTACCTGCTGGGAATACGTTCCAAGATCCCCCGCAGAAGCCTGAAACCGCAGATGGTACCAAACCCTACATGTACTGTTTTATCCTATACATACGCACCTATGATAGTTTTAATTTACAGATTAGGCACAGTAACAGATGAACAATAACTAAAAATGGAACACTTATAACAATATATTGTAATAAACGCTATGTGAACGTGGCAGTAGGGTTACCTGAACACAAGCACCGTGATACTGTCCATCTGATCACCAAGATGGTTATTCGGTGACTCAGGGAGCTTACACTGCGTGAGGACGCTGGACAAAGGGGTGAGTAACATCCCGGTCACAGCAGAGAGGAGTTTCATCACGCTACTCAGAACGGCTCGCAATTTAAAACTTAGGATTTATTTCTGGAATTTTCCATTTAATATTTTCGGCCGGCAGTTGACCTACCCAGCGGGTAACAGAAATTGAGAAAGGCAAAACTGAGTTTGGGGGTGGGCGGGGCTCCTGTAGCAGTTTGCTCAGGAAGAAAGGGGGTTTTGGTGAACACAGCGGGGTCTGTCAGAGGGGTTTGCCCTTTTAAGGACGACCTCGCTCTGTTCCTCTGGCTTTTGCATTCATTTGGGCAGAGGACACCGAGATAGATCAAACTGGATTCCTTTCCTTTTCTCCCAGCGAGCCACATCCAAAGACTGTGCATGGCAGGCAGGGTTTTGGGTTGAACTGTGTCCTTCGAAAAGATATGTTGAAGTCCCAACCCCCTGCTACCTGTGAATGTGACCTTATTTGGAAATAGGGTCTTTATAGCTATAACCAAGTGAAGACGAGGTCATACTCAATTCAGGTAGGCCATCCTCCATGACTGGTGTCCTTACAAAGGGAGGGGGGTGTGGAGGCAGACACAGAGGGAAGATGGCCATGTGACGCCTTGATCTTAGACTTCTGGCCTCCTCTATTGTGAAAGAATAAACTTCTGTTGTTTTGAGCCACCCAGTTTGTGGCGCTTTGTTATGGTGGCCCTGGGTTAAAATCCCACCTCTGCTCTCAGCTGTGTGATAAGATCACACTAACCCATTCCTCAATTGCAAAATGGGTGTGAGGACTCAGCGGGCAGGTGCTGGCAGGACAGGAATGAACATGGGGCTAGAGGGGCACTCAGAGGCCATCCTTGCTCATTTGACAGGCCCCACACCATGGGAGGGGCCTGCCTCTTGTGGTCCCCAGTACCCTCTCTCGATGCTGCACAAACCGTTCCCCTGGACGGGCCTGGCCTTGGGCTAGCTAGTTCCTACTTGGCCTTCAGATCTTGGGTTAGAGTCCCTTTCAAGGAGGCTCTCCTGAGCCCACCTCCAGGTGGGGCTGGTCTCCATCAGTCGCTCCCCTGCTCTGTTTTCTGCCTGGAGAGCACAGTCCTCCTAGGGCATGAGGAGGGGACAGCCGGGCCTGTGGGTCCTGCTTGCCACAGCTAGGCCCTAGGGACGATGCCTGACACGCAGAAACGGCTCAGTCCCGTATTGTGGGGTTGGGAGTTCCAGGGACATTGGGCCAAGAAACGGAAAACCATCCACTTGAACCCTTTGGGTGCTCTGGGCAACACTGATACCCACTGGTCAGCGAATAATGAGACCCCCCATGTTCCAAGAGCAATTAAATGAATAGCTAACCCAGTTGTCACACTGTCATCCAGGGGTGACTGTTAGGGGTGGGAGCCATTGTTGTACGCACAGAGTTACACTAGGTCTTATGTCTTAAAGTTTGGTTGGCTACAGAAAAAACACACACACACTTAATAGGTTAAAATATCCAAATAAAATTTACTGCAACTTTTGTAGAATTTAATTTGTGCTACAAGACATGTTGCATAGGAAACTATTTTAATCCCCTGAGGAAAAATATCCATGGTTTAAGGTGCAACTGGTTTTGTTTCTTCTTTGGGGAAAAGGTGAGAGATGATCTCTGGAAAGAACGAAGGCGGACAGTCGAAAGCAGAATTTAAGGTGATTTCGTGTGATGATTGGGGAATCGTGTGTCTTGGTTCTTGCAGCATAAAATAGTGGTTTTTATTGTGTTGTTTTTTTCTAGCCAGCTGACCCTCAGTAAGTGAATCAACAGAGATAAAAGAATGTCTCAGCCCAATCAGGGTTATGCATTGATTAGACTAATTAATGTGTTTCAAGAAAGCAGACTTAGAGAATGAGATTTGGGACCCCAAGTGGCCCAACATCACCTCATACGAGCACAGTGTGTGTCCTGGCACACTCCTGGGGACCAACTCTGTGGATCTGCCAGATATTTCTTCAGTTCTGTCCCTTATTCTTTGCACGATGCCACAGCTACGATGCCAGTGTAGAAGGCAACACAGCCAGTTGGCCTACAACCAGAGAGGTTACCAACACGACACTCTGCCAAGTCCCAGGTTTTACGTGGGAAATATTTTCATTTTCAGAATGTTCCTCCTGCTCAGGTAATCTATATTATAAATAAAAATGGCTTCCTGATACCATTCAATTCCAAGGAGACATGGGACACACCAGGAAGGCGGGGGGGGGGTGACATTGTAGATGAAATGAAGCGGAGTTTGGCACATGGCAGCAGCACACTTGCACATCAGCACAGGGTGTCCCTTGCGGTGAAGTTTCCTTCGTGTCCACCGGGAGCACTGCCCCGCCCCCAGGGAGACACAGGACGGTGGCGCCTTAGCCGGTAGGACCACCTCACTCGCAACCGGGCATCGTTCCTTTTGAGTGACTAACTGCACACAGGTGGGGACCGGCACCCATTACTCGCGGGGGACTCAGTGTTGCCCACAAGAAGGTCCCTGTGCGCCGTGGCTCGTCATTTACTGCACCATGAGGCAAAGGGACGGGAAACAATAAAAATAAGAGGGGAGAGCAGGACCCAGGGAGCTCGCAGAGAGCATGCGCCTGAGCGGGACTGACTGACTGAGAAACCATGGTTCCTACGTGATTGACTCTTTGACGAGCATGGAGTAGACGAGAAGCAACACTCCAACGCGCAGCTTCCGGCGCGAGGTGCTGAAATGCCAGGTGTGTCTGGGAATAAGAAATGCCCCCAGTGACTTTTAAATACATATATACATCTGTCACATAATTTAAAAAGGTCTTTCTAGAACATAAAAACCTCAACAGCATCGGCCCCTAAAGTTTTTTTTGTTTTTAATCTTTACGCGCCATTAAAAAAGTTAGATACCACCTTTCGCATAGGTCCCCTCCCCACCATACTTTAAAAAAGTGACTTTAAATTTAAACGTATACTCAACAAATAGAAAGCTATTTGATTGGCAATGACCTGCAGTAGAAATTCCCTTCAGGCCGCCCCGCCGTGGCGGCAGCAGGTGGAGCATGGCATGTGCTTGGTCCTGGGGTGCGGCTCCGCCCGGAGTGACCCTGGATGTGTCTGAGCAGTGACTCCACGTGACGGGCACCCAGGACCGTTGGAGGACGCGCGCCCCAGAGCAGCAGCAGGTGGGGGGGACCCGTTCAAATCACGAAGTCGTCCTGGTCCGCAGGGCTGAAGGCAGCTGCTCGCAGAACGTCCAGGGAGTTCACCAGGATTAGCGTCCCCGTGAGGTGTTTCCAGCGCTTGGTGATGGGGTTCTTCATCCTGTCCAGGCCTGTGTGCAGCTCCTGGATGACATCCCGGTAGCTGTCCCCAACCTGGTGGCTCCAGGTGAGTAAAAAGTCATACGCCGGCTTCCACATGGCCTGGATGGCGGAGTCGTCCACAATACCGGGGAGGGGAGGGGAAAAAGATTAGAGGACAGTAAGAGATTCGATCCTATTACCTGCTCCGGTTCCTCTGCTCATTATTTATGCTCTTCTTTTAAGAGTAAAACAGACCCAAAGAAACAGGTGGAGCCGTCTGTCCCAGGCCAGCACATTCCAGAGGGAACAATGCGATTACCGCAACAGTAGTCGGAGGTAGGTAGCACAGGGCGTCTGAACGAACAGAAGGGCTGTCTGTCCTTACAACCCCTGCAGCACTTTCTAGCTATGCATTTATTTAGAAATTCACCATGTAAATAAAGGCGCCCTCATGCTCGGGAATTCCTGCTTCCTGGGTCTCCGGGAGCTCCTCCACACACAAGCAAGAGAGCAAAGAATCCCTGAGCAGGAGCCGGGCCAGCCCTGGCCCGTATGCCCCAGGTACCCATCCAGCACAGTCCTGGGTGGAGACGTGGAGCGGAACTGATCTCAAAGGGCTCTATTATTCAATCTGAATGAGGATGGGACTAGCCAGGGAGGGGCAGTTCCGCAAGTGCTGTGCCCACTTCCCGGCTGTCAGAGAGCGGGACTCACAACTGAAAACCCCAAGAAGGACGAGACCTGCCCCCACTCGGTGAGTGCTGGGCACACGCTCTCCCGCTTGCGGCTCATTTTGTCCTTGTAAAAAAAACGCTCTAAAGTGGATACTGCTGCGACTGCATTGCCCAGGCCGAGGGACGCTGCCCCTGCTCACCTCGCTGTCCACGACCCCGTTCCTGTCCCGGTGGGGAGACTCGTACGCGTCCATCTGCTGCTTGGACACCTTGGCCAGCTTCTCGGCCAGCTCCCTCCAGCGCTGCGCCACCTCGACGGCCGTGGTCAGCAGCACAAAGTCCTGGATGAGTCTGACCACCAGGCCCTGGCAGTCCAACTTCAGTAAGGCCTGGGGACGAAGGGGGAGGGTGGGTGAGAGGCAGCGCCCAGGGCTGGCGCCGGCTTCCCACGTGAGGCAAGCGCTGGGAGGCCCGGGAAATGCCCCCAGACCCCAGCACCACCGCGACTCCCAGAATACAGGATAAGCAGTGGACAGAGTTTGCCAGCGTCCTCTCTCAAAACCCATGTCCACCTGGAACCTCAAGATGTGACCATACTTGGAAGCAGGGTCTTCACGGGGGTAATCAGTTAAAATTGGGTCACACTGGATTGGAGTGGGCCCCTTATCCAATGACTGGTATCCTTACAAGAGCAACAGACACAGAGGGGAGAAGTGCAGCTAAGGACGGACGCAGGGACGCGGTGACGCAGCCACACCACTGGAGCAGCCAGGAGTCGGGGCGGAGGCACCGACTGGATTCCCCCCACAGCCTCCGAAAGGAACCCACCCTGCCGGCGCTGCCAGAGCTGGGGAAGAATCAACTTCTGTTGTTTTGAATCTCCCTGTTTGTGCTGCTTTGTCACGGCAGCCCCAGGACACAGAAACACAGGGTGAGTGTGGGTGACAGGTGTTCATCCTGCTCCCAGTGGGGCCACTGAGAGCGAGCGATGCCCTCGGCCAAGACAGACGGCATGCCTGGGCTCCGAGGAGGGTGAGCTGGATGGACCAGCCGAGTGTGACTTGGCCAGAGGGGTGCTGCACGGGCAGAAGAAACGCGGGGTGCTGGCCTCGGATTAGGGTCTGGAGCTCCGACTGAGGCCTGGGACTCTTAGGTTTTGGGGACAAAGTGAAGGCCCCTATGGAGGAGAGAATAAAGAAAACAGAAAAGGGCTCAGGCTGAAACAGGGGGTGCCATCAAGAGGCGTTTTCCAGAATCAATAGGATTGCTCCTCGTCCAAACTGCAGGAACTTTCTAGTGTGACTTTAGGACAGGGGTCATTAACTATGGAGGGACTCGGGAGGGGAAGGACTGTCCGTCATGCCGGGGAGAAGGCAACGGGAAAGCCCTGCCCAAGTCCCTGCTCGGCCCTGACAAGCACGCGGCCGTCTTGGGACTTGATTCCTTTCTACAAAAGGAGCTGGATCAGGCACGCTTCCAACAGAAGGCTCGACAGCCTTATGTATTCTGTGCAACCCCATCATTTCCGGCATAAAGAAACGCAACCAAAGCAGCTCGCACAAACCAGCAGGTCCGCTGGTCTGCACACATGAGACATACATGGGTTGTCACCCCAAGTTACATGATAGCTGCTGGGTGTCACGTATGTGGGTCTGGTGTGATCCAAATTATGAACGAGGCCAGCATGGTTAGCGTGCGGCTTCGAGGTGAACAGGATGACATCACCCAACAGGACCCCAGGAGGGCAGGAGAGCGGGCGTGCTGGAAGTCACTCTCCTGTACCACGGAAGGCTCGTCTCAACCCCCACTCTCGTCCACGGAGCCTCTAACGTCCAGCACACCCCACATACACCCCAACATGGGAAAAGGCTTGGCTTCCCAGGAAGCGGGCCTCAGGGGCACCCCTGAAGATGGTTTCTGACTCTCCCTCGGGACTTCAGACAGGTAAGGATGAGACCAAGGACATGCAGGAGCAGAAATGTCACCAATCCTGGCGTTCACTGTCCCTCGACGCTCTGCCCCGGGCACCTGATATCACTTGAGGACTCCAAAGATAAGGTGCTACAACCAAGCTAACCAACGCCTCCCCAATGACCCAAACGCACAGCTGCCGCGAGCTCCCTGACACACGCAGTCCCGAGTCAGTGTCACAATGTGCCGGGCTGCTTTCTTTACAAGGGAGCACGGCTATTTTAGACTGACCTTTCTAATCTGCATTTTATGTTTATTTGGGGGAGCTTGACAACATGAAGAAGCGATGACTTCTCTGGTAAGTGCATTTGCTGGGCGGGGTGACCCAAAAACCTTTTAGCTGGACGCCTGGCACCTCAATCTCTGCAATTTAAAGCACGAGTGACGGCGACAGAGTACTCTGATGTCACCTTGCATCAGAGAGGTTGGCAGCTAGCTGTACACGGAGCCGGCAGGAAAGGAGCCGGAGGACACGTGGTCCTTTTCTGGGCTGGTTTGCTTGCTTAATAAGCTACTATTACTGAGTGCTTCCTATGAGCGAGGGACTGGGCCCACGCACAGCTCAGAGCCCAACACGAGGCAGGTGCCGAGCTCACCCCATTTTGCAGGTTAAGCCGAGAAAGGGGAAGTGAGGGGCTGCCACACCAGCTGAGAGTGAGCGCCAGATCCCCTAGGCAGCCTGTCCCGGCTCCTACCCCCGGGGTGGGCCGCAGACACCTGCAGACTCTGTGTGGCTTGCCGAGGGCTCCACAGCTCGAGGTGACAGAGGTGGAGGGAGGTCCAGGCTTCTTTGTCCCCAGGTCAATGACCTTTCCAGTTCTGTGGGCACCACATGACATCAAGAGCTGAACCAAACAAAGCACTGGTCTGGGTTACGTTTCATTTCAACTTCCTATCTTTTCACACATGATGTTTTGATTTGAGCTTTGATATAGTCAAGCGAAGTTGTTTACACATTTCAATGTCTATTAGCTTTGAACTTCAGGAGATATACGGAGAGCCTACACATGTGTCTACGTGCACCGGGGAGGGATGTGTGATGAGCTGGTGGAGCTTCTGATTCAGAGTCTACGGGTGTGGTGCGGTTTAAGCCCAGACCCGCTCGGCACAGAGGCTCCTCTGCAGCCACGCCTGCTGTCCTGAGAGGGCGTGCTGGCTGACCACAGGGCTCGACAGTCGTCACTTGGTGTTCCCACTCGGCTTTCGTTCACAGCCCCCAGTGCACACAAAGCAAATGCGTGTGTGCTCAGCTGCCTGGCTCGGAGGGGGCCTCGCTTTGTTACAGAACACGCCAGTCACCTGCTTTCCACTCAGGTCATTCCTGGCAGGAACGGTTCAACCCGCTCTCTCCCCAGAGGCTCAGGGCGCAGGACACACAGGTCCCGAGAAACGCACACTGTTCTCTGTCCACCTGTCCACCGCTGGAAACGAGAGTGCGGACCCTGTCCACGGCAGGCCCAGGGGCCACGTTCAGGAGCACGGAGGGTGTATGTACACCCAAAGAAGGGTCATTCAGTCTACTCGCTTTACTGACACTTGACACTTGCAGGACTTTTAAAATACTTGCCTGTCGTTCGCAGGCCTTGCTCTTCCCAAAGTGACACTCGCTGCCATGGAGCCGACATGTCTCCTCAACTCCCTGCAGTGGGCCTACAGGTCACGGAGCAAAGGCGGATGGGCGTGCAGACACACATGGGTGCGGGCATCTGTAACGGTCAGACAGAAGCTGCACGTTCTTTCCAGGCCTGAGGACCAATGGTGCCTGCCCACGCCGCGTGCCCGAGGCCTCCACGGCAGGCACAGAAAGCTACCTACATACATGCTAAGCTGGGAGTGGCAGAATGTGGGGCAGCATGTGTGGCAACATCCCAGGGGACCGAGTCATCACCACAGCACAGACACTGCCACTGGTCACCTCTGGGAAGCCCTCTGCTTCTGCGTTTGCTCTTCAACACTGCAATATACCAACGCGAATGGAGCAAGTGCTGTCTTTACAAATAGAAAAGTCAGTGAGGGCTCATTCTGGAAAAAACAAAACCTGGGCGGAGCCAAGACAGTGGGGCAAACCCAAAGACCCCTGAAGCCCAGACGGTCCTCGACAAGTACAAAGGGCACAAAAACAGAGCCTGTCACCAACACTGCAGCTCAGGTCCGCGGTGCAGATTGGACCGCAGACCCTGGGCCCACCAGCCATCCAAACCCCACCTGCCAGGTGAGGAGGCGAAGGGCGAGCCCCTCTCACTATGGGCCGCAGGTTTGAAATCAGATGGGGGAGGCAAACGGCCAAGGGATCTATGCACAGACTCGTGAGGGTGTCCCCAACCTGGCAGCCCTTCGACCTGACCCGTACCTCTGACCTCTAACCTCTGCTAAAAATGAACTCCCCACTCGTTGTCTTAACAAGAGTAAATGTACTCCACGGATGGCTGTGGAAATGAGGCCCCCACCCCCAGTCACGGTGGTGCTCTGAAGGGACGACACGCAGAGCGTGGCAGTCCACTGGCCACACCTGGATTTACAGAAGCACCTGGACCCATTTGGACTGCCGTTCACTTCCCCTAAGGTCCTTAATCCCCCTCAATGCCTACGGGGTAAAGCACAGCATCATCTGGCCCAGGTGGCTCCATGCCACTATCCTGTCGCCCCATGTACCATTATCCGTGCCCCCAAACCTCTCCAAGCCCCTGGCTGCACCCGACCCTGTGGTCCTCTGCACCCCTGGCCCCTGCCCACACGGTGGCTCCTCCTGGCAGCCCCCCTCTGTTGGCGGGGTTCCTGCACAGCCCTCCGGCGTCAGCCCCATTTGCCTTTCCCTGGTCCACCCACCCCAAGGAGGTCCTTTTCTTTGGGGCCCATTACAAGTCTGCCTGGCACTCGCTGATCCTTCACTCCGAGTCTTCCTCGAGTGACAGGTCTGCGTCCCTTGAAAGCCCAGCACCCAGCATTGCCCCTAAGCACAATGTCGGCACCAAAGAGATGTTTAACGAGTGTCGGGCACAAACACCCACTCCTGCTGTCTGCGCCCGCTCTTCCCGGAAGTGGAGGCCACACACCTGCCACTCAGCTGCCCCCACCCTGCCTTCCACAACAGACTCTGACTTGAAAAGCTCTTCAAATGTGTGGGTCCATTCCAGTGCCTCCCCAGGGGGTCCACTCAATGCCCTCTAACCCCCAGGGGCTCCATCCGCCCTGCTACTGTCCTTGGGGTCAGTCCAGCACCACCCCTCCCCCCACTTTCAATACGGTCTGGGGCATCATTGGCGCCGGGTGGCCATCCTCTGTCACTGACAGGCATGGCTTCTACTGGAGAGCGCGGCGCGCCGGGGACAGAAGCATCATTCTCTGACTGAGGTCACAAACCGTGTGGGTGAGAATGGGCAGAGCACTCCAGGAGGCCCACGCGGTACACAGGATGCCCCGCGGGCAAGCTCTGATATGGAAAATATGCACTGAAACCACAGAAAGACGGAGTGGAACCAAAGAACAGAAGCAGGTCTGACCACAGGAGGCTGCGTCCAGGTCGGATTCTCAGCCTGCATCATCCATCCATTCATTCACTCATTCATCCATCCATCCATCCATCCATCCATCCATCCATCCATCCATCCATTCATCCATCCATCCATCCATTCACTCATTCATCCATCCATCCATCCATTCACCAAATGTCTGAGTATTTCCTATGTGCCAGGGTCCTTTCTCTCATGGATTTTGTATTTTTAGGGAAACAATGAGACACAGGAATCCAAGTACACAAAGCCATTTCAGATTTAAGAAAGCACCGCAAGACAATAACACGAATGATGAGGTGCAGGGAGCCAGAGGCACAAGGTGGCTTTGCCGAGAGTTGCAGGAAAGGTCTGAAAAGATGAGGTTTGAGCTGGTCGCTGAAGGAGATGAAAAGCCAGCCACGTGAAGTCGGAGGCAGGGAAGAGGATTCCAGGCAGAGGGGGCAGCACACGCACAGGCCTGAGGCGGGGACACGCTGGGCGGTCCAGATGCAGCAGCAAGGCCGGGTGGCTGGTGTGCAGGGAGCACGTATGGTCCCCCATGTGGGAGACGGAGGAACAGGCCTTACCGCAGCGTGGGGGCAGAGCAAGGGGCCTGAACCCCATTCCGATGGCAGGGGACAGACGGGCAGCTCTTCATTTGATTCCTCTTTCCTTCCCACCTCCCTGCACAGTTGTGGTCCAAAACCTTCATCCCGTCTAATTCATTTAATCACCGTTTCCACACCAAGGAATCCTTACTAAACAGATGACTATGTTCACGACCAGAGGGGTGGGGCAGAGGGGGTCTGGCTGTGACAGGGTGGAGGGGCAGGTGAGGCCCGCGGCTGAGGCTGCTCAGTGACATCTAAGTCCCTGGAAATAAAACACCTGGTTTCCAGGGACTCCTCAAACACCCGGGATAAGTCAGTCTGTGGTGTCTAGAAGTTTGGCCAACCCTTCAAATCTGCTGCTCGGAGATGAGGAGGAGATAGCAGCCTCGCAAAACCGGTTTCACTTCAGCACCACAAGTCTAACCTTGCCTCAGGCAATGCTCCTGCCAAGATCAAGTTTCATTTCCTCCTCTCGGGGAGTCTGGTGGGTGTGGGGCTGGCAGGGGCGGGGGAGGGTCCAGCCACACACACTAACCCGAGAGGCCAGCCAGAGAATCTGCTATCAGAGAAAGTTCCCCAAGTTGGAAAAAAAGAGGGATCATATAAGTCTTCTGAAAAGAAATGAGGAAACAGAAATAAAAGCCACCTCCTCAGACACTTTCCCACAGCTGGGAAGGCGCCGCTCGGGTTGGCGCATTTTTCACCTGTGCCCGTTCTAGGCGAGCGTTTTTTAAGCTGCTACAAAGGAGCAATCGATACTCTTCAAGCTCCATGAAAGCAGATTCCACAATGGATGGAGAATACCAGCCTGAGGCTGGATAGAGGGAAACACATCCCCCCGCCCTCTGTGCCAGGTGGGATCCATGAAACGTGGGCCTGACACCAGTTTCCGGGAACTGATTTTATAGGGGGGGGCCAGTGAGGTGTGCCCTGAAGGTTGGGACATGAGTCATCATGGTGGGGGGACCCCACCGGTGCCCAGGGGATTCCCTGCTGCCATCACTCACCCCCAAGCCACGACAATCCCATGTCCTCTCCACTAAAGCTGCCATCACCAATGCCACAGAAACCTCCTGGTTGCCAGGGTCACCTCTCTACCCGCCACTGCCAGTTCCCAGCTCCCTCCTCTGGGCAACGTCAGGTTCTCATGCTGCTCCATGCGCCTGGCACTTTATATCACCACGGGCCACTGTCATGCCTGTCTTTCTTCCTGCCTCGCTGCCTCCCAGGCTACCGCGCACGCCCCCCGCAGCAGCGGCCAGGCTACAGTGCATGGTATCCCTGCCCTCTGGGTCCAGGGGGTGGCAGAGGAACGTGTGTGCAGCAAGCGAGCCTCAGATGCACACCTACGTCTACGCGGACGTCCTCAGACACACACAGACACACCTGGCTCACCTGTTCCAAGAGGCACTCACACAAAATGGCAGGTGTTGGGCGGAAGGAGGGGAGTAGAAGTGGCAGAAGCGGTACCAAGTCACACCTTACAAAAGTGAGGAGACAGCCAGTGGAACACGGAAGGAGAGCATATGGCCAAGTCCCCGAGGTTTTCCCACAGGGACAAAAAGGAGAGATGTGTCCCTATCAGGAGGGGAAAGGAGCTGAGACGACTTCCGTTCCAGAAAGAAGTCGACAGAGAAGGTCCAGCAGACTCAACGAGTGATGCCAAGAGGACATTATTAAGCTTCTCCAAGGTCACTGCCAGAGCGTAACCAGCTTTTAAGGGAGGGGTTGCCAGTGGGGTGTGGGGCTGGGGCAGAGCCAGGCCTGCTGGAGTTTCCCAGTTGGCTGGGGGGCCGGGGTGAATCTGTATTGTGACACCAACTTCCCCCTTTTACTTCTTAGGATTCCAGTTCCCGGTTGTGCTGGCAATACAGAGGCTGTCCTCACCCCAACTCGAACACACACAAGAGGAGGAAAAGGAAACAGTAATTCAGAGAGATGGTGGGAGCCTCGAGTGTGACATGGAGAGAAAAACTCCCGTCAAAATAAAGTCCGACTTTGGGGCAGTGGTTCTTAAAACCTGAGTCGCAGATCCTGTTGGGAATCTGATGAAAGTATAGATCTTCTCCTAAGAGATCGAAACAGCCAGTTGGAGAACAGGGTCCCCCGTGTCCCCATCCTACTGGGTATGAGGAGACCCATTCAGACACCTGAGAGGCTCACAAATTCAGTGGGAAAACAGACCAGAATTATCCTCACTGCAGTGGCTCTGGAGTTGTTTGGGGGTCCTCACAGGCCCCCCATAAGCGCCCATCTCCAGATGCATGCTTAAAACCCGCCCATGTATCTCAGGAGCAGAGATGAGCCCAGACGCCGGTCCAGGTTCACTATAAACCACACCTGTGCCCTCATGGGTCAGGAAAAGGCGGGGTTTCGCCCCATCCTCCCCAGACCCACGGCCCGCGGGCGCTTACCATCATGAGCTCCTTCTGGAAGGACTTCCGGTCTTTGCTCTCCGCGTTGTTACAGTCCTCCTTCAGTTTCTCCAGGACAGACGCCACCCGCTCCGGCTCGCTGTCGAGCTCCGCGCGGCAGAAAAAGGTGAGCGGGAGGTTCCCGTAGCCCAGGGCGTCGGCGAAGGAGCGCCAGCTGCTGATGTTCTCCATGAGCAGGGTCCGCACGGAGGCGTAGATGTAGGTGAGGAACTTGCAAGGCCGCAGGATCTGCTCCAGCAGCAGCGACGTGCTCAGCTCGGGCCCGGAGAGCAGGCTGGGCCTGGCCCTGCCCACCACAAGCACGTTCTTGGCGTGCACCAGGCCCACCTTCCCCTGGTGGTAGCCGATGTACCACTCCTTGGTCCACAGCTGCCCCTTCAGGCGGATCTTCTCCTCGCTGAGCAGGGCGATGGCGTCGCCCTTCTTGTACTCCAGCAGGTAGTGGTTCTTGCTCTGCCGGACCACGGTCTTGAGCAACTTGCCGAACTTGAGGCTGGACACCGGGCGGTCCTGGAAGGTTGGGTACTTGGTGGTGGCAGCAAACGGGGACAGGATGATTTTCCCGACCTCGTTCTTCTTGAGAAACCGTCTCTGCCCGGACGGCTTGACGGCACTTTTGGGGGGTGGTTGGGGAGTCTGGACGCAGAACTGGGTCAGGATGGCCTCCTGGTCGTCTTTCACCTGGACCCGCAGGGTGAAGTCCGAGAGCTCGCTGGGGTTCCGGCAGCTGATGGGGAAGACGAGGCGGCCCACCTTGCCCAGCTTCACTTGGAAGCCCCTCACGACTTTGGCCTGCTCGCCGGCTTTGACCTCGTAATGGGTCATGTTGGAAAACATGCAGACTTGGAGGTCCTGGGGCCGGGACAGGACGAACTGGTGCTTGCCCCAGAGCTGCAGGGCCACTGGCGCAGGGCTCGGGGCCTGACGGGTGACCTCGCTGACCAGCAGAGTTTTCGGGGCACAATCGTGCCCAAAAATGGTCACCACGGTCTTGAAGGACGGATGAATGTGTTTGGGGCCGTAGAGACCCACTGTGATCTTCTTACTGATGAAGTCCCATACGGTGGAAGGGTAGAGAATGTTTGGACCGTGGGCGACAATGGCCAGGTACATACAGGGCTCCAGGTTGTCCAGGTGCACCTGGACCGTGTCCCCGTAGCTGTAGGTGAGTGGGATGGGGACATACGGCCCTTCCTTTAAGTCGCTCCTCAGGCACTGGAGGCCCACTGTGCTTTTGCTAAAAATGTCGTTTTTCACCTCGGCCGAAACTTTCATCTCCAAGATGATAAAGGTTTTCACCTCCAGGGTGCTCAGTTTCACCTCCAGCACGGGGCTGATGCTACAGCACCTGTCACTGTTGAGCTCCAAGGGGGGGTCCAGCAGCGCTTTCATGGCGATCTGCTGCGTGTCCCCCGGAGCCACGTGGCCCTCGGGCACGTGAATGCTGATGCTGGTGTCGGGCAGCTGCACAGAGCCCCCGCAGTGATCCAGCTTGCACACAATGTTTGTCTCCACTGCCTGGGTCTGGCCCCACCCGGGGCTTTGGCCCAGCAGGTCCAGGTCGTGGCAAGACCGGGCCAACTTCCGATGACTCAGCCAGGCAGCTCGGAAGTCCTCCCGGCTCTGGAATTGCTCGGGGGCCGGTGACTTCAAGCCCGTGAAAAACCCCGAAGACGCAGGCGCGTCGGACTTGGCTTGGAGCACGGAGAGTTCCGACAGGCTGTAGGAACGTTTACTTCTGAAAAAGGGGTTGTCCCGCTTGACCGGCGGCTCGGCCTGGAGTTGATTTGCGGCTGGCAGCTCGTCCAAGATGTTGCCGGTGCTGCTCGTGGTGGCCAGGCTGGACTCAGTGAAGGAGGACGGGCCTGTGTCGAAGAGCAGCAAATCCACAGTACTCCTGGGCGCCAGCTCATCTCCGCCGGGCATCGCCGGCACGTTCCCGTTCAGAAATGGGTTTGTGTGGACCCCATTCCAGAAAGGGTTGTTACTGTAGGTTTTTCCCAATCCCTTCTTGTCATCCGTCCATCCTCCGAGCAAATCTAACTCCTTGGCTACTTCGTCTGGGCTGTCGGGAAGGTTGTCAATCATCCCACTGTCACTTAACGTGGAGTTCCGGTAGTTTAAGGGCTGCACATAGGAGGATGGGATGTAGCCCATCTCCGTGGTGTTGTGCGCATACCACCACTCCCCGCCTGAGGTGTCCAAGACGTAGAGATGGTCACCCTTGGAGAACTTCAGGGTGGTGAAGTTGTTGGGGCAGTAGTCCTTGATTGCGATCACTTCCTTCGCGTTTCCAAAAGGTGTGGGATTGTCTCCTAGCAAGGCACTGGGAGAAGGCACTGTGTGAAACACAAACAAAGAACAGACGGTGAGCACGAGGCCGGCGGGGCTGCAGGACACCGTCCAAAACCAGGGGGAGAGGGGTCCAAGAGACAACCACCAGCCACCAGCGGACGTGGGCAGTGAGCCAGGCAAGCAACTCACAGAAACAAACCAAAGTGAAATCTGGTGTGGGATTCAGCTGGCCAACAGACTGAGGAGAGCATGGGCGCTTAGCACACGCCATCGCGTCGGCGTGTGGCACTCCGAGCCGGGGAGGCCAGGAAGGAGGGCTCTCTATCATCCACAGACATGCAAGTCGGCACAATGGAGCCGTTACCATGTCCTTGTGTTTCAAACATCTCATTTTGACCAAAACTTTCTTTATCTAACTAACCGACCAGAACTGCTGCTAGGTACTGAAGGGGAGCAGAACAGGTCACCCCCAAATGTGCCTATGTTGAGTGGAAGACAATCAAGGCCCAAAAAACTCGGAAAAAGCTTTTTACCTTCCCCTGACAGAAAGAATTTAGACAGGGGTCTGTCCAGGAAGAGAACTATCACTACAAAGAGTGTGAGCCAGGAGTGGTGGGCTGGGGGAGCTCCTCCCTGGGTCCCACTGTGTCTGCATGGCAGGGCAGACATTTACATTTGTTTATCAAACATTTGCTCTTCCCATCTTCCTGTGAACTGTCCTCCTCCCCTTTGAAGTCCCAAACCCCCCACCTCCTCCTCCTTAGCCCAGGTGGCATAGAAGCTCTATTTTTGGCCTGACCGCCCCGGGTCTCGTATTCTTGTGGGGCCCCATGTACATATGTAACTAAATTTGTGTTTCTTCTGTTACTCTGTCTTACATCAATTAGACCAGCCAAAAGAGACTATAAGGTTAGAGGAAAAACTGCTCTTCCCTGCAGCAGAAGATAAGTGAATGTGATTTACTTAGAAAACACAGTGATGTTCCCGGTTAAGTGACCCACAGCATGTGGCCAGGAGCTGGAAGAGACGAGCCTCTAAAGCGCCTCTTGTGCTTATGAGCTGATCCCATGTTCTGCCTTCAACACGAAACAGGTAAGCGGAGGGGACGGTTCCCTGGACTCTCAGGCCCGTTTCTTCCATTCCCAAGTTGCACCCATCTTCATCAAACTGTTTATATGAAACAAGACTTTTGAGGCTAGTCTCTTTCAACCTCCTTGAAACCATCATTCAAAATAACAATGTGGAAATGGCCTCTCCCACATACCTTAAAAATCAAAGGTTTATGTCTGGTCAGAGTTCACATTATTTTTGAACAACTGTTTAAAACAGTCTAAAAAAATCTCAACACTTTAAACAGCGACCCAAGCTAATGTACGGTTCTTGGCGTCCAACTTCAAATGTTACCAGTGTAGAGAGCAACTGAAGTAGCCAAACATAAGTCATCTAAACAAGTGGTGTGTGTTTTGAAAAATAATGGATCATTCCAGACCTCAGTGTTTTATCTCCCTCCCATATATGACAAAGTTTATAAAAGGACAATGTTCTTTCTGATGGAAAAAAGCCCATACGCTTCTTCCCCTCCCCCACCCAAACTGTGCCTCGGTTTGCAGTTTGCTGATATTCTGGCTTCCTGTACCAAACAATTGAAAGGAAGCTTTTTTTTTTTTTTAAAGAAATTTTATTGGGGAACAGTGCATTTTTCCAGGACCCATCAGCTCCAAGTCAAGTAGTTGTTTCAATTTAGTTGTGGAGGGCATTTTTCCAGGACCCATCAGCTCCAAGTCAAGCAGTTGACTTCAATCTAGTGGGGGGAGCAGCTCCTTGGCCCATGTGGGAATCGAACCGGCAACCTTGGTGTTATGAGTCTGCGCTCTAACCACAGAGCTAACCGGCTGCCCCAAAGGGAAGCTTTTTTTAAAGCTCCCTATGTATCAAGCAGAGAAAGGACTATATTTTTAGTTGAACAACAACCGTATCTCCTCTAATATATGATTAAGTCGACAGGCATTCCATCAAATTTGTCCTCCAAAAAAAACACCCCCACCTGCCAGCTTCCCTTTCCTCTGAAAGGAAATAATGAAAATTAAATTGTGTTTCCTTGGCCAAGCTTAGGAAATAAAGCAGGAAGTTTCTATTTATTTCCATTAATTAAGTAGCAGAGAGATATGCTTGGGAGAAAGCATACCTGAGCCCTGACGGCTGGCACCTACTTCCCTCTGGGTGTTGGGGAGAAACTGGCTCCGGGGTCACTAGATCTGGGATTTTAATCCGGGCCCTCAGAAGCTGTGTGACCTGTGGAGCCTGAAGTCTTCGTGATGGAGAAAAACATCTTTCTTCAATGGGCTCTGGTGAGGATGAAATGAAATCATGCTGATAAAGTGCTCAGCGGAACGATGCTTAGCGCAAGGTAAGGACTCACAAAACGTGATGTTATGGTGGACATCTCCACCCCACTCCAAATTTTATTTTTCTCCGTAGCACTTATCATCCACTAATGTGGCACCTTATTTATCTGTCTTGATTTTTTTGGGGGGAACACTCCATCGCCCTATTAGGTGTAAGCTCTGTTAGGGTCTGTTATGCTCACAGTGGTATCCTAGAAATAGGCCCTGACACATGGCAGGTGTTCAATAAAGGTTCGTGGAATGAAGGCTCATCCTGCTGCTTACAACAGGGAGGTCACATCCATGCTATCGGGTCAAGGCGCTCACCAGAGGCAAAGTGAGAATGACCCCCCCACCCCCCACCCCCCTAAAATCACACCAAAGAGAAATCAGCTGAAGGGAGAGGACTAAATACAAAACAGCCAAGTACAAGGGAGTGGCTTCGAGGGGGAGGTAGGCAGAAGGGGGGAGGGGCCAGGCTGGGTCAGGCGGTAAGAGAAGACCCTGTCTTCCACTACGTTGTCTAGTCACGGGTTCCAGTCATGTGAACCACTTTCGTTTCCCTCACGTAGCTAAAATGAAAATGTCACATGAAAATTAAAACCAAATGAAAATTAAAGAAAGCCTGCGAGCTATTAAAATCTTGTTAGAATCCCTCAAAAGTTATATCCCTATTATGTTCCCCCAGTATAATTCCCTTACAGGAATGTTTTTTTTAATTAAAAAAAACCAAAGCTATTAAAGCTGGCTTTGGATGTAGCCTAAGAAAATGCATCAATGCAAATTATCACTTTAGTCTCACCAGACTGAAGAATTAAAAAAAGCTTCACTTAAAATTCCAAGCACTCTCCTTAGGTCAGTGGTAACAGATTTCACTCAAGGACCAGGCTGGGAAGGTGCTCTTTCTGGTCAGCCCCCCCCCACCCCCCCACCCCAGGGCAGTGGACAGCAGTGTGAACTCCCTTCTAGAAGGGACCCTCCATCCGTCAACTGCCACAGAGCTCCTGGGGACACCAGGCGGCGGGGAATTCCATCCAATCGAATGCAGGAAAATCTCTATCGCGCTCCATCTTAATGAATTCTGGGGAGTGCTACCCGGATTCACAGCTACCTTGATTTTATTAAAGAACAGCTGGTTCCCTGGGTGTTGCACTGAATAGTACATTTCCTGCCCTCCTGCCTCACTTCTTATGCAGGCAGAACAAGCAGCAGTGGCAGAAGATTTCACAGCAGGTATTTCGGCTGGCAACAGTTCCCACCTTGAAGCCTGTTCCCTGTGTGGTTTGTGTGGAGCTGCTGGGCTGGAATGCTGCCCCTGAGCAGTGGAGTCCAGAGGGTCTGTGGCCCGCCCCCCCCAGGCGCTAACAGCCCCTCCTCTTACCCCAGGCTGTCCTTTGTTGCTCCCCCCCCCCAGCTGTATTCTTTTTAGGAATAATAGCTCCGCCCAGATCATTGTTTGTTAAAATTCAACTCTCAGCCCCTTGTTTCAAGACCCTGACCCCAAGCCCACGATTTATGCTCCTATTTCCCTGCCTTAACTGTGATGATCTGGGCTAAGGTCAGAAAATAATGCCCATTACAGTCCATGAAAAACAAACGGTTCAGTTACTTAGCGCAACCCCAAGAACTCTGCTGCCCTTATCGACAGTCTCACAACTCTCTTTGTCAGCCTTCTTTCAAAAAACACGGAGAGCGGAGAGCGATGCTCTGGGCCACAGCAGAAGTACAGAGAGGTGAGGAAAAAGGGGGGGCAAAGTGGGAGGGCGAGGGGGGGACACAGGCGCATGTACGGAAGACTGTCAGCGCCTCAGGGGAGGGGTCTCCATTTTATCTGGGAGACAGCAGTTTGGTACAAGAATTACCTGCTCAGCTGACTTTGTGCCAGGAGCTACAGATATAAAAGCAAAGAGAAAGGACCTTCTGCACGATGGTGATTTCAACAGAGTGGGGTTAACACTGCGGAAAAGTCAAGTCATGATGATCATGATGGGCCGGGTGGCGGGGGGGCACAGGGCACCCCGAGAGCTCACAGCAGACACTGGCCGTGGCCCATTGAGGTCAGGGCAGGCTTCTAGGAAGAAGATGGATGACCCACCAGTAGCAGCAACCTTAGTGTCCAAAAGATGGGTTTTCTCATCATCCTCGTCTTTTGTGGATATTAGGAAAACCCACAGGCACCGGGAGCTTAAACCTGGGAGCCACCTCTAAAGCAGGTGTTGGCAAACCCCGTGGCCACATCCATTGGCTGTTTTTGTAAATAAAGTTTTATTGGAACTGTCGACTGGACAAAATGATTCACCACAAGAGGGTTTATTTGGGAAAGAAAAAGAAACAAAACAACGGCAGCAGTGTGAGGACGCACCCCTCCGGCCGCCCACGTGCAAAAACTGACCTCTTCCAAAGATGGCCCCCTATATAAATAAATCTTGCTCCCAGAAGTTGGGACCATAAAATTTTAACAGGAAGTCAGGACTAGAGAGTAACAGGGAGCCCAGCTCCACCCACAGTCCTGCAAACTCTATGGTCAGTCACTTTAAGACGCCAGTTCACATTTATCAGGACACAGCCATGTCCATTTGTTTACTCTCTTCCATGATGGCTTTCAAGCCACACCAGCAGAGTAGCATAGCTGTGACAGACATCATATGTCTTGCAAGGCTTAAAATAGCTCCTCTATGACCCTTTGCTGGAAAAGCTTGCTGACCGCTGCCTCAGACCACCCTGTTCCTTCTCTGGCATTTCTCAATAATTCATCCAGTCTCCTTTTCCCTAGTTTGCTGTACCCCCAAGCTCCCTACCTCAAGGTCACCAAAACACATGAAAAGAGAAAACAAGCATTATTCTGTATGAAGAAGTCTCATTACTAAAGGGAAAATTCAAAACAACCTCCCAACACATCAAAAAAAAAAAATCACAAAAACCCAACCCAAACCAAAAACAAGTGGTTATTTATCCAGGGCTGAATTTATAACATGAAGTGTAGAGAGCTAACCTTTAATAATCTGAATGTGAACTTGGCAACCTTTAAGTGGGATGTCCTTGGGTCTTTGAGCATTTGCAAACCCCCACCTCCTCCCTCGGCCACAGTTCTGTCCCCAGGAGCTCACCTCTGACATCGTTGAAGCTTGTTTCTGGAAACCCTTCGCTCAGGTCAATCAAGGTCCCCTCGGACTTGCACCGCGGGAGGCCGCTGGAGTTGGCAGCTCGGATCCGCTGAGCCGCCATCTTCAAACTCTCTTCCTGGGTGAACTGCTACGGTTTCATATTCCTTCCTCCAGTTTTACCAGCAACTGCTGATCTTCGGTCTCAAGCAACCATGCTGCGCGGCGGTGTCCACTGTGCAATGTGCTTCTTCCTGGAAGTCGAGAAAGGAGAAAAAAAAAGAATTTCCCTTGAGCAAGTGTAACATGGGTCAAATAGTAATTTTATGGGAAGTGGGGCCCCTCTTTCCTCCAGGGGCCATTCCAATAACGACGGACCCATGTCCTTTCCGGGCCCAGGAAAGCAGCGCAGGGCTCTCGGCCTGGGCTCTGTGCCCACCTCACGCCCACAGCCTCAGCGCTCTTGGTACACACAGGTGGTGTTTCCCGGCCTGCTGGGGGTCCCCTCTCTTCCTGGAGCACAATGGGGTTTGTGACATTTGTGCTAGCACCTAGCCAGCCCGTGCATTACAGCCAAAGAGGAGGACAAAATGGGATCTGTACAGTCTACGCTGCTAGCTGGGTTTCCAGGGTTCAGGCAAGGAGATATAAACCAGAGAATGGCTGGTTCCATTGTAGAACAGCCACGGCCATGATGGGGCAGCCGGGCGGCAGCGCTGAGCACAGCCCCTCATACTCTGCCCATGTTCTCCTTAAATCCTCCCTGGCCCCCAAATAAACAAACAATCATAAGTAAAATGCCCAAGTGGCCATCTGCAAACGTAAGGTATTTCCGTGTAACTTACGCAGGTGAGACACTGTATTGACTGAGTCACTGTGCTCTTACTAAGCCAGCACAGGACGTTTCTGTGGGAATAACGCAAGAATCACTCCCAAGGCCTCCAGCTTTGTTTTTGTTTTTTTCTGGGAAGGGGCACACAGGCATTTACATTTAGGGGGTTCTTGGATGGATGAGATGATTGGCTGTGAGTAGACCTTCACCAGGGTCCACGGACAGGAAAAGGACCAGCCAGTATCAACGCAGTGAATTTCACCTGCGCTCCAACAAAACAGGGCAGACACACCACAGCTGGCCACAGCTGGCTGGGAACCTGAGGGCAGGAGAGTTTCACCCCCAAATAACTAAGTTCATGTAACCTGGTCTAAGGTCCCTTGTTTTGCTATCCAAAGACAGGTGGACATGCAGTTTCTGACCCAGTGTGCCGCCTCTACTCATCAGAGGGACCTGGGGGGCCCAGCAGCGCCCTCTGCGGCTCGCGCTGTGGGGGCGACTTAGCTTGTCCAGGGCCACCCCTCCCCCAGGCTCTCGGGCAGCGTTGTGACGGACAGCCAGCTGTGCAGTGGGCAGCCCCAGGTCCGCCTCCACGCTGCTGTTCCAGGGGTGGTCTTGCGTTCAATATTTAGCCCCGTGAAGCCTGTTTCCTGGTATAGCGCAGGGGTAGTAAGATTGGATTTGTGTGCAGAATAAGGTAACCCCTGTGAGGCGCCTGCACCGAGCAGCAGGGCCCTGATGGCTGCGGCCCCCATAGCTGGGGCTCGGCAGCCCTGGTCCCGGTGAAGGGTTCAGGGGTTGCCCTGGAGACTCTGGGAAGCCGCAGAAGGTTCCTGACTGAGAAAGAGAACTTCGGCTGCAGGTGAGAAAACGGAAGCAGCACTGCCGTTTATCTGTGAGAACGACTGACGCAGCTTAGGACAGGCTGCTGAGCGCGCCAGTGCTGGCGGTGGGGTGGAGGGGGGCACGGCAAGAACAGGAGACGCCAGGGCGAGCCCCACCATCCTCACAGCCCCCCACAGACAGCCACGTCCTCAACAGGTGATGTGGGTGATGTCTGGGTGGGGCTGATTCTATCCCACCTGGGAGATACACCACCATGCAGCACGGTTGCTCGCACACCTACAGGATGCCAAGATGGCTTTCCAGGGGGCACCTGGGAGAACCTGGAGTTGGCAGGTAAGAGGTCAACATTCCAGAGTGATTAGGTCCTTGCTTTCCCTATCACTGCCAAGAAGGCAGGCAGCTGGGTGGGACCAGGCCCTTAGGGGTGGGCATCACGAATCACAGAACCCCTGGAACTCCAGGAGACTGATCATTTCTTTATTATTGACGGGGTGACATAGCTATGACCCTGAGCCTGTGGAGAGCCAAAAAGTGTTAGCAGTTTATGTAAAGAGAACTGCAGTCCCTTCAAAAATACAAAGATACCCTCACAGAGGTTGTCATTGAAGGAACAGGTGAGCCACTAACTGTGTGGCCTTCGTCCCGTCAGCCAGAGGGAAGCCTTGACACTGAAGTCCAATTCCTCGGTGACCAGATGTGTCGCCTTCTCACTGAGCGTCACTGCACCGTGTCTTCCACAGGACATGGGACGGGGAGTCCCCGGTGCTCAGTGCCCTGTGTTAAGCCCAGAATGGCAACTTTTTCTCCAGGGGCAGTGGGAGACGGTCCTTCAACAGCATCCTGACACCCACCCGTATCTCTGTGGTGAGTGCAGGGCACCGTCATCCCTTGGGGACGTCATTTTACAGCAACGTGAGCGGCCCCCGCGGGACCAAGCCTGGTGGGCTCGCTCTGCCTGGCACCTCCCTGACCAGGGACCATCAGGTGAGGGTTCGGAGGGAAGCTCCGCCCCTCCACCAACTCCAGAGCTGGGAGAGAGGCCTGGAGTCGCTTGCCCAGGTAGGACTCCGGGAGGCAGTGCCCTGTTCCCCTGTGCGACCATTTCTTTCCAAACCCGAGCGCAGCATGTCTTCCTTGCAGCAATGTGGGACCCCTGATGCCTCCCACCGTCCATCCCACTTGGGTCCTTCCTTTTCACAAAGCTGCCCGGGGCCAGGTCACTCCCCGACTCACATCCGTCAGGGTGCTGCTCGGTGCTTTTAAACCATCGGTGTTGGACTTCCTGCCCAGGCACTCAGGACCTCCAGGGCTCGGTTTTCACCTCCTTTTCCCAGTTTCCAACTGACCTCTGGCCCCAAGGGAATCAACGACCACACTCAGACCACATTCACACACGGCTTCTCAAGTGCGCCCACACTTCTCAGCTTCTGCTCGCTGAAAACATGCCGCTCGCCTGTGCGTCCAGGAAAACCTTGTCTTTCTCCACCCTCCTCCCCGCAGCCCTGCAAGCCCGAGTGACTCAGATCTGCAGCCAGTGTCCCCAGCCTCAAATTCAAGTCTCAGGAGCTTGAGTACCACGCCTTGCAAATCAGTGCTTGTTTTATGAGAAAAGTAACGCGGGGAAAATGCTGCGATGGTCTGATTTGCTTTATAAGGAGCTCATGGAGGTTCATTAGTGTTTTCCTAACCACTATTATTACAAATATATTTATATATAAATATGTATTTATAAGTATATAAATATATCACTACATTCACTATACATTATACTATTTTCCCTACTCATTTTTTTTTAAGATTTTTTTTTATTGGGGAATTGGGGGGATGGGAACAGTGCTGGGGAACTGGGGAAGGGGAACAGACAAGTTGCTGTCCTTTTGTTCTTCAGTCTAGTTGTGGAGGACATCGCTCCACTGGCCCAAGTCAGCACCATCATTGCGCCCTTTTTCCGGGTGAGGCAGATCAGTCGCCGGCCTCCGGACGGCCACTCACCGCGGCTGCTGGCCACTCATACCGGCCGCCGGCTACACACGGTAGCCCATGGCAACCCACTGCCACAGGGGCTGCAGCCTACGCCGTCGCCAGAAACCCACGGCAGCCCAGCTCCAGGCCGAGCCGCCGTTCAGCATCCTAGCTGTGGAGGGCAGTGTCACTGGCCCTCATATGTGGGATCCAACCGGGGCCCTCTGGCGTCCCAAGCCAGCCCTTAACCATCGCGCCACTCGGCCGACCCTTCCCTACTCATTTTTTACCGTTTTCCTTTTCATTATTCATTTTTTATTATTTATCATCTTATTTCTACCGTTTTCCCCATTTATGTACCTGTTTTAAATATCTGCAGTAAAATGTTTAAAAAAAATTCAGGGAAGTAATATTAGGACACATTTATCACCTGCCTTCCCAGACACGTGGGAGTGTGTGTATGTGTGTGTGTGTGTGTGTGTGTGTGTGTGTGTGTGTG